TGGAATTCAAAAACTATTTAATGAAAGGGAAGGGGGATACAATTTAAGGGGTCAGTTAAATTTAAAAATTCATGCTATACGTACAACCAAAAAAAGATTTTGTATTTCCATAAGTGGGGTAAAACTATGGAATAATTTAAGTGCGGACATAAAAAATAGTAATAGAATTGACGAGTTTAAACATAAATATAAAGGTATGTGTCAATCAAGATATGGGCAAGAACAGGCTTAATGATTAATCAGATGGGAGTGTGGATGTAGAATATGTATCCATGTGGTAATACTGCTTGCAAACCAATGATGATAAGATGATGTTAGGGGGTAGGACTAGATAAGTCTAACTTCTTCCTACAAATAGAAATAGAATAGAAATTTATATACTACACAAAGTCCCAATCCTACTTTGAATGCAACATGAATATACAAGAATATTTTATAACTAGCTATTATGTCCTGTGGCAGGCAAGAGAACATATGAGATGTTTGTAAATTTAAGATTCTTTTGGAGGAAACATAAATTGCTGCTTTATTTATCCCTTAATTTTTTTTTTTTTTAATTTTGACTATGTAATTTTTTTTTTTAAAGAATTTTGACCACAATATGCATTGAGTTTTACCTTTTTGAAAATCTTTGTTTTTGCCTTTTAAGCAGAAAAACTGCAATAGTGACAGCGTTTTCTGTACATCCAACATATCTTTGGCATTTCTGTACAGCGGTTTGTTACTAATCGGCTGCTTTAGGCTACATACAGATACAGATATCTTCAGTAAATAATATTGACCAGCCTGGCCAATTAATCAGTCTAGCTCTGATGAGCTGTGCCAAATTAGCATGTTTTGGCAAGCCGTGAGACAATATAAAAAAAAGGTTAAGAAGTCTCTTTACAGTGCTGGAATAGGATTTTCAGATGTGGAATAGACTTAAAGGAAAAATTCACCATAAAACAGAGTGTGGTGCACAGACAACTGTGATTCTGTATTCATGACCTGTCCCCAGCCAACAGACAGGAAAGTGCACACAGCTGGTAGCTGTGCTGATATTGGTGTGTCTGTACGCGTGTGTGCTCACTTGGTGGCTGCATCTAAAGTAGCCCCTCTTGTACACTCATGGCACCATGATTTGATTATATAGAGCCAGTGCTTTGCCTGAATATTAATCTGGGGGCCCAAACTTAATTTGTCCGGCGATGGGGGACACAAGCCCATCTGGCTGTATGGTAAGTGTGACGCTGCCTGCGTCCGTGTGTGTGTGGGGGTTGTCTATCTATTGTGAGAGACAGAGGGACCTGCCACTCTGCTCTGAGGAAGACAGATCAGTTTATAGGATGTAGACAATCACTGGACACATTCACTCCCCAGAGATGGAAGGAAAACAAAAGGGGGAGAGAATGAGAATAATTCAGAAAAACGAGGTAGAGAAAAGTAAGGATTTTTTTTAATGCAAAAATATAAGATAACAGTAATAATTTAAAAAATTCCCTGTGGGCATGAAAAGACGTTTTTGTTGGGGTTAATATCGATGCTAAATGTGACTGCAGCTTTATTTTTGTGATGTTTGACTTAAACGGAACAAACTAACATCTGTCAACTGCCTGAATTATCTTGTAAACACTAGATTGATATTCAGCATAGTGACAATGTAAAATTCTGAGCCAGTGGAAAAATACAGCTCTTTATTTGTGTGTAGCTGAACATTCACAACCCACAACATTGCCCACAGTCCTCTGGGTCAGAAGCAGCGCCCTGGGGCATGAATGCAACCTCTCCTTGACCTCCCTGTGTGCAAATGACCTTCCTCTGACGTGGAAGGTTAGCTTTTATACTGGTGCCGAGGTCAAAGGCAGAGGGAATGTTGAGTGGGGGAAGAGATAGGGAAGAGCGCTGGGACAAAGAGCAGAATGCAGGAGAGAGTATGTGTGTGTGTGTGTGTGTGTGTGTGTGTGTGAGAGAGACAGATGGGGGTGGGTTGAGGAAGTTAACAGTTCATCCAGCATGTCTCTCACATTTTACTTGACAGTTTATTTATTTTTTTATATATTTTTTTCGCTTGCTTTGCTCGTCAACAGGAAGGCCGCAGGGCAGAAGAGGGTGATAATGCAAAGAGGCAGACAGAAACACACAGGCTCATATTGAAAGAAAGGCTTTCATGACGTTTTGCACATGTAGGACTAGTGTTTTGATTTCATCTGCATGTGGTTGTGAGGGTGATAGATGGTTTTGTTTGTGAAGAGAAGGGGTGAAGAGGTACGGACCAGGAAACCGAGGTATATATAAACTGAGTGACTGTAGATGTTTCTCGTTTCATCCTATTTGTGTCATATCTTTCATTTAAGGGATAAAACACCGATCTAAACCCAGTGTTGCACACTCACCTCTCCTAGTTTCAATCTTCTTTAAGCTCAGTGCCAGCATCCTAAACACATCCTCCCATTAGTCTGACTTTTTCTCCCAAATTCTCATTTGATGCTTAGATTCCATATTTCCTCTGTATGATTACATGTGGGTTTATTTGGTACATGCTCCTACCAGAAGTTTTAAAATAGGACCAGCAACCAGAGTCTTTAGCAGCTTTGCTTAAAAACCTACTTGAATCGATTATCAAAAGTTGTTTGAACAGCAGGATGATTTCTGGGGTTCCTCGATAGCCGAATGGTTACGGTACCATTTACCCAGGCCCAGTGTGTGCATGATGTCAGTGTTTCTAGTCTGACCGCCGGTGTCCCAGAGTCTCCAGGTCGTCCCCTCTGTGTCCCTCATTTTCTCTCCACCTCTGTGACTCACTAAAAAAAAAAAAATAAATAAAAATTCCCCACCCCCCATACACAAAAAGGCAGGTTAATTTCGTATCTAATGACTAATCGACGTGGAACAGTTGATTGCCTTATGTTTGATTTGTCCACTACATCCATGTATTGAACTCTAAGTGGCTGCCTGAAAGGTTGGAAATCAGAAAAAGGCAGCAAGACTAAGTAAACACATTATGTAGTTAATGGGCTAAAACCAGTACAACCCTGTTTATATAAAAAAGATTTACTCACTTCTGCATCCAGTATTTGACGGTGCGGTTTTTAATTTCAGGTCACTTCTCAGTCAGCTCACTTTAAAAGGTTTCTAAATGAAGATGTGAATGAACCTTCACCTGTGTTAGTTTGCTTGCAGTTTAATATTTCTGTGTTGACATGGATATTTCAGCCAAGGCTGTGGTGCTGTAATAAACAGAGGGCCAAACAGAGTTTTACACCTGTATGTTAGTTCTGCCACTTTGCTGTTTCCTTTGATTCTGAAGTGAGTGTTAAGACAAACTAGATTTTAATTACTGGCCAGGCAGTCGCTCCCTGAACACATTAGACTGCACGTGAGGGAAATGTGGATTAAAGTGTCATGTAGAAGAAAGCAAGCAGGTCTAAGTCTCCCTATTGTTTTTTTTCTATAACTCAGGTCAGATACCTGATGTTTCTATTTCCTCATCCTTCACTCCTCGACATCCCTCATGGTGTCTTAACTTTAACACCCTCCCATCTCAACGCATGCCTAGACCCTGGTGTGCACATGTATAAGTTATGTGCTTTATTACTAACTCAAATCAATAACATCAACCATTACAAGAAGACAAAACACATGCCAGAGGAGATGATGGCTGCGCTGTTTGTGTTCTCTAGTGACCGATCAATGACCTAATCAGTTTGTCTGAGAGAAGCACACATGATTAGTAGTCAAGTCCAGTAATGTCAAATGTTAACCGGCAAAGCATATTTGTGTCAATACTACAGAAATCTGTTAGATAAAATCAACCAATCAAGTTAGTGATTGTCAAAAACATTTGCCAATAAAGCTGATTTTAGCTGAGGGATTCCTCATATTTGTGAATATAGTGAGAGTTTACATAAAATAGACAGGAAGGCAGCAGTCAGTGGCAGAAAATGAGTTTGTTCTGTCTGCAAAACTATCATATGTCCATTTCATGTATTGGTTGTCTTATTTTGGGATGGGCAGCATTTTACAAATGAATTGAACGTAGCCCCAATAGAGTTGATGATTTTTATGTTTCCTTGTGATCCGTTCTCAGTAGCTTTCTGGGATTTTGTGCATCTTATCAGGAAGTGTTCCCTTTGCCACACTCTTAGAATCAGTGCTAGATGTCACAGTCTTGTGAGGGGGGAAAAAATCAACTTGAGAGTTGCAGCATTTCTTCTGTGTGTCAGAAATGCACTGAGGTTGTGACTGGAGAGCTGAACCATAAAATAAAGTGTGTGAGAATGTGTGTAGAGGTGAGAACTGAGCTGATCACCTTGAGTGTGAAGGGAAATGTGCTGTTACCAAGACAACATGGCGTTTAAACACCTACTGCTCTTGGAGAAACAAGCATCACAATTGTGACTCTTTGAATTCTTAGTTTGTGTTTGAGTTTGTAACACACACACACACACACACACACACACACACACACACACACCATAGAATCACAAACTCCCCCTACATTTGTCGTTTGTCTTTTTTTTGTGTGTGTGTGTTGAGCATTCAGAGCTGAAGTCGTGGCATAGTTGTGCTGACACCACATAATGTTACTATTGTGGTGCCCAGTGCCTCCAGTCTCGGCATCAGCCCCAGTGTCTCCAAGAGAGGCCTCGCAGTTGCCTGAATGAGACAGTGAATGCTCTTTTGTCTGCTGGCCTCGTGTCTGAAGTGCAGCCACGGATGCTGTAGCACACACACTGTTGTAATATTCACTCATTTACTTGATGGTAGGGTGGAGGCCAGAGTCAGACATTAGGGCTGTGTTGCATAGAGATTATAATAAGTGAAGGATTTACTGGCACACACACACATTCACCTGTTCTCTCTCTCACACACACACACACACACACACACACACACACACACACAGTATATGCATGGATGCAAAACCTGGGGAGATTGATGATCAGTAGTATCTTTTAGGCAGAGATTCCATTATATTGCTGTTAAGTTGGCCCGTCTTTATCGCAGCTTTACTTATTTACACTGAACTTAAAAAAAGCATAAAGTCGCTCCTGTGTTCTTACACAGATATCTGCATCCTGGTATTAGAGGCTTGTGATATGTAATCATGCATGTAACAAACAGAAATACGTTGTTGCTATGGCAGATGAACAGGGAAGGGATGTGATTTTGCTCGTCCTGCACATTTGCCACGATTCGGACTCAAAGCTGTTGTGCAGAGTGTACAACATGTTAATGATTAAAAGAGGCTGATGTCTTTAAACAGGTGAGAGGTTCAGCTCAGACATTGTAACGTTTTGCATTTTACTTGTGGATCAAGTAGGTACAGATTTAATGAAAGGCAAAGCTCTTGGGTGTGGAGTACCAGGACATGAAGGGTGTGTATTATATCTGATCTCATTAAGCATGTTATTGTTGTCATAAAGGAACAGTAATCGACATCATCACTTCAGGGAGTCGTAAAGATGCTGTAATGGAAATTCAATGTCCCAGTACAAATAGCATTTTTAATATTGGTTTCGAGGAACACTTTTGCCAGATTTACATTGAAATAAGATGCTCGCTTGTTGAAAGTATGCGGTTATGTACTATGAGAATGTGCTTGTACTGAAAAGATCACAGTAAAAAAGAGAGGCACACTGCAATGAACCGTTTGTGTCACCTTAGTACAGGGAGAGACAGAAAGCGACGCTTCTCTCTGTCAGGCAGAGAGGGGAAGAAATTCATAAGCAGAGAAAAAGAGGGTGCTCTGTGTGTGTGTGTGTTGGGGATAACCCCGCTCTGAAGGCATAAAGTTTATTCAACCCAATAGAGCATTCACTATCGATAGCAACATAGTCAGATTGTTGTCACCAAGCCTGCTGCCCTCTGGATGGGCTGCAGTTTAGGCACCACATGACTAACAGGGAGACCCGCTGACCACCCAATGACATCAAGAACAGTTGAGGTGCACGTCTGTGAGGCTCTCCTCTGTCGAAGCAGTGTGACAGATGAGCTTTAGCCCACTGGTGACAGTGTGTAGGGACTATGTGGGCGGATGCGAGTCAGATTTTGGGCAGCCAGCGTTATTTGGGTTTCCCAAAGCAAATTTTAAAAGGCCAATGGCACGGTCTTAAAAGACAGATCTTTTCATTTCTGTTGACATGAGGGTAAAAAAAGTGACTTGATCATCACACATTTCACAAAATTTCACTTGAGTGCATTTGTCGGACTATGAAGACAAAGATATGTCCCTGTTTGAGCCACATGTGCAGCTTCAGTCTTCCCTGATATGAACTCTCCATATTGCTGGATCTCCACCTCAGGAATGAAACCCTGTTCTTTCAGAAGACAGAAGAAACTTTTGACAGCTCTTCCTGTGTAGATTTCCACTGTGCTGTGTGCTGTGTTCTGGAACTCAGTGTAATCTCACTCTGAGCATTTCTTTGATCGGTCTTTCTGAAAAAACAAAGTGTGTTCCTGGTGTTTACTGAGCACACGCTCAGATAAGTGAGACTTTGACAGTAGCCGCTGATGTTGAAGTGATTTGGTGGGATACCAGAAACACACAGCTCCCACTAAATATTTATCAGTAGGTAATGTGTGTATTTAGGTCATTTTAACCTCTATATCCACCAATGTGCTCTTCTAATGTATTTTTTTGTATTTTTCTTTGCTGTCAAACTATCTGGACCATTAAAGGAAAAGTCCAATATATTTCAGCCAGTTACATTCTGTTTTCCATCAATACCACAGTGGCCCCACTTCATTTCAGAGAATGGGGAGCTGCACAAAACAGCATTTTATTGTTTTTCAGCTTTCCAAATAAAGTGACTTGACATGAGCCATTTCAAATGCTGTTTCTGTGTCTGACCGCTCTGGTTAACCCCAAAAACATGCCAGGCTCAAATATGTGATCAGCCACAACAGTACATTACAGACTAGACAAAGTGAATAAACGCCACCACATACTTCTGAGTAAGGCCATGTATGCTTTTAAAATGTAATTTCTAGTATTATAAATTTTGTCGGAGAACCTGCTCTGTGTTTGGTGTTTTAATAGTAGGGTTGGCGAGTGTTGGCAAGCGTTCCCATCTGCATTATGGCTATTTTGCGTATCCTTAATTGCTAGGGAGCATTGGTTTATCATACTCAGAAATGAATGCTACTGTACATGTTCATGAGATGCAGTTCAGCACAGGACCGGTGGGAGTAGAAATAAGTTCTGCAGTAGTTTTGGATCACCACGTCAATGCTGGAAAACTTTGAAGAGAAACTTAGAGCCTGTCTGGCTGATAGACAGTTTACACTGTTACTATGGTTTCTGTTTACATTGTGGAAAAGTGGAAGTCCATAATGAAGATATTCCATTTTTGGGTCCTGATCTGCCCCCATGTGGATGTGATTTTTAATCCTCCAGATAAACACAAAGTACACAATACACAAGCAAGTGTATGAACAGTGACGCTGGTGTCGCAGCCTGTGTCGATGTACAGTATACTGACAGCTTTACTCGTTGGTCTAAAAATGTCCCATGGGTGTTCAGTTGGGTCGAGGTCTGGTGACTGTCACTGCATATGACTCAAATGATTTTCACACTGTTCAGTGACCCCTTGTGCATGGAAGCATCCACATGTTATGGATCTCCATTCATTTATTCTTTTTTTTTGGAAGCATCCACATGTTATGGATCTCCACTCATTTATTCTTTTTTTTTTTCCCTTTAATTTCAGTCTGTCAGTCATGTTTGTTAAAGGTTTGTCATGACAGTCAGGTTTGTTTGGAAAAAGATGTATTTTCACAATTTGCTCACACTAGAGCGGACACAGTCTCGGTCAAACAACAGCTAATGAAACGGCAAACAGCTGCTGTACTGCTGCACCAATTTGGTTGCTAGGAGACCAGAAGACTCCACATGTAAAGATGTCTAATATATCTAATGTCTGTGTGTGCTAGGAGCTACCCAGTGGCCATGGCATTGTTATATACTGTACAAATAAAGATACAGGAATGGGAAGAGAAAGAGAGGATGAAGGGAGAAATGAGCAGATAACTTCTTCAGTGCTGGATCTGCTGGAAGATAAAAGACTTAAAAGCAGTTACTCTGCTGGAGTGGAATCGGACGAAATAATCTGAATAATTCACACGCTGGCCAGTTGTTTCATGTTTACTAATTCTCTCTTTGCAGTTCTTTTGTTAGCACAGTTCAGAACTCGGCTATCACAAGTAAACCAAACATTTTATGGGGAAGTGATGAATTTACTGAGCTCTCAGCTTAGTGGAGCCCATGTTGGCCCAGAGTCAGTAACATCATTAACAGCCTCTGTTTGCAAACCATCACAGTTATGTTGTGCATGACTTGGCACTGATTCTACATGGTTTTGAGTCATAGTCTATTGGGTTGTACCGTTTAGTTTTATCCTAATCACTTTAATTTAGTTTTTTTACTCTACTTTATTCTACTTTTATTCTATTTTAGTTTCTTAAATGGTATGGGCATTCAATATTAGGTGAGAGAGAAACGGTATTTCGATTTTTCTGTATGTCCTGCACATATAGTGAATTGACAATAAAAATCTTTGATCCTTGACTTTCAGACTGATGGGATGAATCGAATTGATCAAATCTTGAAAGAGAAAACTGAGTTCAAAGGTCAAGTAATGCTCCTGATGTGCTTTACTTTCTTCCCACAGTCCAAACATCAGGTTTCCTGTTAAAGGTGTAAGTGGCGGGGAGTGGTGTTTGTCTGTATTATCACTGTGATGGACTGGTTGCCACCCTGCATGTTGTGATCAGCCTTCTGCGAGCCGCCACTTGAAGTAAACAGGACTTTATTTATTTTTTTTTTTGTTAAGCACAAAGCTGTGAAATTATTTTATTTCAGTTGATTTGCAGCCTTCAGTGGATTCATTTTCAGGGGCAAATGCACTAATCTTTCAAGTCAAGTTCAGTTTTGGGACATTTGACATGGATTTGCTCTGTTGACAAGTAGCACCGTGTCTTAACAGTGCTAACGAGGGAAGAGAAAACCAGAGTCCAAGATGGCGGAAGCTGTTTTGACCATCCACTGTTGTTTAACCTGCTGTAGTATTCACTGCTCCAGAAAAGAACTGTTACTTGTAGACAGGAGTTCACTAAACTATGTACATGTTTAGTCCATTTAGCCACTGCGATAACTATCTTGCTAAATGTATTTTTTAAATTATTTTTTGGGAAATAGAAAATAAAGGTGTGTGTGCTATTGTTCTGTGAGTTATGTGCACTTGGTTCATTCGTGGCTTTAATTTTCACTACAAAATGAATTAACATAATGACTTACATCACTTCATGAATTAAAGTTATTAAAAGGGCCCCAGTCAAACCTCAATCAGTGAAAGCCAATGTAGAAAACATAACATTTATGTTTGTTTCATGTATTAATTTGAATAACATTATAGCCTTATCACTCTAAACAGCTGTGATGGTTTTGTCTCCTTTTCCTTTCAGCCTCTTCAGTGACATGGAAGCTTTAGCGGATGGTTAAGTCACTGCTTCATGTATGTCGTGATTTATTAGCTGCAAAGACTGTTTACATTCAGAGGGTTTTTCAGTCTTTTGTTTGTTTCCACTCCAGGTTTTTTTTTAATGTGCAAATTAAAAATTTGTGTAAAACAGATGATTGGAAACCCTCTAACAAACTCACTGTAATCTCGTCTATCATTGATCATTTTTTATTACAGCTGACAGTAATAACGGTGTTTAGGATGATAGTCGTGTTTAGGTGAGCACACACAAAAACAACACAATAACATCCTTACAGACAGCAGTCTCCAGTATTCACTCACAGCTATTTAACAGCTGCAGGGCCAGCTGCTTCTTTGTGACTAGCGCGTGAGCTATGCAAGCACGTTAAGAGTCAACAGAATAAAGAAGGGAAAACGGGGGTACATTTGAAAGGCTGTTCAGCTGCTGTGATCTGCCTTTCACTAGTTTCACTCACTCAAATGTAGAATGCAACATCTTTTAGACAGACTACAGCCATGCCTGGAACCTGTGGGCGCATGACACTCACCAGTCAAAATCACTCTGACTCACATGTGTTCACATAATGCCAATACTAATAGAGTTTGGACACCAACAGTTATATTTAGGTGTATAGCACCGACACTTGTGAATCATTCCATGGCTATTATTCATGTCAGGTTAGAATTTGTTTCAGCTCCTGAAATCTATCTTCACACTATTGTATAGAAATGCGAACGTGGCTTCATATCTGCAGCATAGTCAAATACACAGTGTAGGAATTGGCACAAATCTTTTTCTGTTAAACTCAACCTTGTTCATCAAACATATATTATTATCAGGTGTTGCTTTAGCTGCGTAAAAACGTGCATCTATTTCACCACGACAACTGTCTGAGCAAAGTCTTCCACATGTTTTCGTAAAAATAACTGTGGATCTGCCAGAGCTCCTGTCTCAGCAGGGAGATGTTTTTGTCACTGCACAGTCAGAAAGGTAACTTCTGTCTTTGAAGGGACTTCAACCACCTCTACTAAACCTGTCTACATGTGAGTTTGAAGAAAGCTTTCAGATGTACTTGTGAGGCAGGCTGTGGGAGGTGCTGCACAAGTGTGATTTGGCTGGTAAAATGAACCGTGAGCATAGTCAGACTGGTTCAGAGTTTGGGTCTGATTTGGACAAAAATGCACTGAAGATAAACAGCAAATCTTTGTGACACAGAATAAATCAATGAAAAATGGAGCTGAGTTCATTAAAAATATCTTTGCTGAACATTCAGTACCTTTTAATTAAAAAATACGTTTATGAAAACTTCTGGGCTTGAATATCAGTTTTTATTGTATAACTCAATAAATATCAGAAGTTACTGATAAACTGATTTGGTAAACTCCTATTTTGTAGCTGAAATGATTAGTTGCCTAATCAGTTAGTCAGTTGACTGAAAATTAATCAGTTATTTTAATAGCCATTTAAGTAATAAAAAAAAACAACCTACATTTCCAGGGTTTGGATTGTTTGCCAGACCTAAGATCTGAGGAAGTTGATTTAGGCTCTAGGATATTTTGATCAATGCTTTTGTTACAGTTTCTTATGTTTTATTGAACAATAAATCAGATTTTTGACAGATTAATCAATAGTGATAATTGTCACTTGCAATTCCAGTCAGTTAAACCTGTACCACTACAAATCATTTGATTCTTAAAGCAACCAACTTATATATTTTTTTTAACATTAAAGAGAATTAACCAATGAAATCAGTCTTTTAATAGAATCATAATCAGTAACTAAGCAAAACCATTACTTGCAATTGAATCTTAAATATTTTTTTCAGGCACAGTGTCTCTGGACATGCAGTTGATGTGAATGGGGAAAAAATGTGAGTTGTACTGCAGCCAGTTGTGAACTGTAGGGAGGTTAGGGTTCTATAAAATATTATAGATTAGGGTAATGACACACACACACTTGCCACAACATTTACGTACATGTAGGGTTCAGTGTGAGAGGGATTGAAGAAGCAGACTGTGCACATAGTGTATTCAGCTTGTGTGTGAGATCAGTAGCAGCAGTGGTTGAGGGAGACTCTGCATGTCCACACACAAAGCAGTACTTTGTGTAAGAGTCCATGTGATTGGCTGGCTGTGTGCTGAGCTCTTATGTGTGTTTACACACACAGTGTACTGAAAACACACCTCGCACAGCATGAGACCTCACGAATCCAGGTACTGCTGGAACGCAGGAGAGTAGGTCTGTAAAAGTAGAAGGCAGACAGATGCAGCAGTTTGAAGAACACACTCAGGTTGTGTTGTCGTGCTGCGGTCCTTTCTCTGGTACTGGCCTTCATGTATGTCTCACTGTGTTTCTTTTGTGAGTGTGTGTGTTTTTCATAAACGCATGACTCCAGCTCTCTGCGCTTCTCTTCATCTCTTATAGTTTCACTCTCACCACATAACTTCCTTAGTATCTGTCACCGAAGTTCAGGTTGCCAAGCAACAGGGTTGTGCCTGTCACAGCAGGTTGCCACAATGACAGTCACTAGGTGGGGGTCTGGCAACAAAGACATCAGGTGTTACTTCCCACTGCTTGTCTGTGGACGCCTCCATTGACCTCCAGCGGCTGCAGTGTGTGCACAATGTGTGTGTGTGTGTGTGTGTGGGTGTGTGTGTGTGTGTGTGTGTGTGCGCACACGCCTGCTCCAGTGAGCAGCAGAGGTCTCGCTGACGATGCCCACATCCCTTTCAGTGCTCTAATTAGAGAGAGAGAGAGAGAGAGAGTGTGTGTGTGTTTCTGCTCAAGTGATCGGTCACTGAGTGCAGCTCACAGCAGAAGCTTTGCTCATGCTGACTAGTCAGTCACAAAGACACACACACACACACACACTTCTGGGTGGCTGGTCTGGTCAGGCTAGAAGATAAGATGCACACACCAGTTGTCATTAATTAGTGTTTAGCTGAGTTGAGCTTTAAGATAAAGGCAAAGAAAGAGGGAGTGATCTAATGATTCTCCTCCATCTCCCCCCTGCACATAAACTCCTGGTTCCTCTTCCTTGGTTCAGGTTCGGTGTTGGATAACGGTTCTGAAACGATACTGCGAACCAAACGTCCACAGTCTGGGTTCAAGGTTCTGTGTGCTGAACAAACATACAAGCATAAACTTATAGAGAAGTTGGCTGTTCCTGACTTTATCTACAGGAATAACTTTTTTAAAACAGCAGTGGTGTAGCTAAAAACACAGAGGAAAGAAGTTAATGTCAGAAAAATCCAAATGCTTCAAATGGTACAGGCGAAAAGTAAAGGTCTGTTCTTTGCTTCCATTTAATAAAACTCAGAGCATTTATCTCAGCCTTTTCTTTTGAGCCATGGATTTGGCGAAGTTAGTGTTTGAAATCTTCTGTAATGTCCCCTCTCCCTCACCTTCGTTCTCCTCTCTTCTCTGTATGAAAATTTGTTGGTATTGGCTGTGTATGCATGTGTTGCTGCTGACAGCAACAAAGTAGGAATAACTTACTGAACAACAAAGACGTCATGCTTTCTCACCTAAAAGCCAGCTGCTTTAAGACCTTTTGCTGACATTGAAAGTGTTGAATTCAAATTTCTGCAGCAAAAAAAAAACGTTGTGACCGTATTATTGTTATGCATTCATTGGCCTGAAATGTTTAGCGTCTCACTCAGATACACTTGTTGATCTAATGTATTGTGATTATATCAGAGTCATGTGATTATATCCTTGAGTCACTCTGTCTCTTTGTGTCCACTAATGCATGGTCATTTTTCTCTGTACAGTATAATTGGCTGTGGATTACTCATTTAGCATAACCTATGGCAAAAATCTTAAAAGCTATTTCTGTTTATTGTTGAGTCCTAAGAGTGACTCTATGGATGGCGGTGTTTGTCTTTTGGCCGGCTGGCCCGCTGTTTTGATGAAATGAAAGATTTGCAGAACACAACGGATACTGGGCTCAAACTTGAAATGCAATTTAGACATTAGAATTTTGTTTTAATTAGCTTTTTAATTGCTTTCCGTTTAAGCAGCATAGAAAATTTGAACGACTGAATCCAGAACAGTTCATTGTTAAAGAAGACGGATCACAACAAAATGTTATTATGAGATGGTTCAGTGCAGGTGCAGGCTGATAAGCGTTTGACTTTGCTTAATAATAATTTCTAGGCTACCCACCGTATGCCTGTGTCTTCCATTCACGGCCACAGAAGCCAATACTTGGTTGACTTACTGATGCAGCAGGTCCTCCACCAAAGAACCACTGAAACAGTTCATTCAGGAAGTGACCAGGTCATGACATCATTTCCTACACTGTCAGTTCAGGAAGTAGAAAATTGCCATTTCAACATTGGTTTTATTTTTCCTCACAAAAAAAAAGCGTATGTGAGAGAATCAGCAGGCATATTCAAGTCTTGTTTCCACCATTCCTTTATACTCTGGTGTTTTATTTTGCTTCAGCTGTTTCTCATATGTATGTTTTGCTTTCTGTACATGGACACAGCCCAGTGAATAGCCACTTAAGAAAACAAAAACACTGCCAGATAATTAACCCTGGTACTTGACAGGTTTTTGTCATATCTTGGGCTTTTAGTTTGGTCTTGCTTTAGTTAGAACAACAGACCATGTCAGACTCAGGTTGACACTTGGAATCTATTTAATAGATTCGTGGAAACGGAGTTTTTCACATGGAGTATTTGACAGAATGTAAAAATGACATATTTCACTTGGAAGCAGTATGAAAAGACAAAATGTACGATATGTAATGAGAAAATGTAGTCTGGGCAGAACTACATTACTCAGAATCAGTAGATGATGGCCAACTAAAATGTATGATTCCAAATATAGATGAGCTAGAATCTGTTTTTTGGGGAGTAGAATAAACTACAGTAGCTGCTGCGGAGATGGAAAGGTCAAGAGAGTGAGCTAAAACCACTTCATAGCCCACAGTTATTGATTTCTCCCACAGCAAAGTGTACTGTAGGAAAACATCTGGGGATGCTTCTCTGCGTTTTAACTTCACTTTGTTTTACACAATATCTGACCTCTGTACCTCTTGGACCAAGCAGAATAGATTCTACAGTACTCTCCTCCGGTTTGCTTGTGTGCTGATCAAACAAAGATAGATGTACAGTGTGCAAACAAAATGAGCTACATAAAAAAAGTAAAGGTCTAAAACACTGTGTGAGCCATCAGACAAATAAAGAATGAGACATCCATAAGAAGATGAGAGTGGATCTGCTGGTGGTGTGTTGTTTTTAAATTTGTCAGAGTGTGTCTAAGTGTGGAAGCCGTTATCTTAATGTGAGTGTTGTCCCCTCTCGTCTTTGGTTCATCATCAACGCCAGCTGAGATGCAGCCTGCTTTTGTCTGACTCGAACAATGGACAGTGCTGGTCTGAGTCACCCTACACACACAAATCCATTCATCCATCAATGCCAGCAGAGAAAGCAGGCAAGGCTTTAAGTCATGATATGGCACCCTGAGACAGGCACTTATATTCATATAAGGGCTTCAACTAACGATTATTTTCATTATTGAGTAATGGATTATTTTCTGAAAGAAATACCTAATCGTTCAGTCTGAAATGTCAAAAAATGTTAAATGTCCATCTAAAAAAAAAAACATGTTTGCATTGGCATTTTGTTCAGAAGATGGATCAATTTATTATCAATTTGCTAATTATCTGTCATTGATTATTTGATTTTAAGCACTTGCATAAAACAAGAAAGGAAAAACTTAAATTTGACTATTTTCATCTTAATATTGGCAAACATCTTGATTTTAGGATTTAGCTCCACATATGAATAGATGTGTGTGTGTGTGTGTGTGTGTGTGTGTGTGTGTGTTCTAAATTTAACAATTTCTCCTGTTTAGTTTTTTCTTTACACTGCATTTGCTACGAGTTGTTCTGTTAATGTATAGTATCTTCCTCATTGTGTTTAGCCAAAAGAAGCTTACACATCAAGGAAACGACAGAATAAGAAAACTAAGACTGTGTTTGATGGCAGATTTAAAGATTTTCACTCTGTCAGAAGCACATGAATATTCAAAGACGTGATTATGGAGAAGGATGTGGGAGAGTGCTGAAGGACGTCAAATGGGCTGTAGGCATGAGGGTCCTCGGCGGGGAGGTGACCTGGTGTTGAGAAACCCAGTCGAGCATGTGTCAGGGCTAACGCAGGCAAATCACAGTGCTGTTAAAATTCTTTTAATGCGTGACGACATAAAAGCAGACATGTAAATGAGGTGTTCAGTGTGTACATGTATGAACTGCTGCGTTGGCAAGATGAAGTCAGTCTGTCTGGAAAGGGGAAACTGTGTGTGCACCGCTGTGTTTCTGTTGTGCCTGCATAGCTTCATAACCATGTGACCGTGCTGTTGAGTAAACAGAAAACATACAAGCTTTTTTTTCCACATCTTGTTTTCCTGTTAGTTTATTTTTCAGCTGCTTAGAAAAACAAAACAAATGAGCTCACAGATAACCCACACATGCCATTTTACAGCTTGTCTGTAGTGGCAGGACCCTCGTTTTTCAAAATTTATGACAATATGCAAATGAAGGTGCGTCTCAGTGAATCATCAAGTCATGTGACCCAAGCAGCGGGGTCTAAGGGCACACGGGGTGGGGAGGCTCCAGTGCCACAGACAAGGGGGCAATCTCCGCCTGCCCCCATCTGCTGTGAGAGTACGCTGTTCTTTGCATAATGGAGACTGACCAGTGTTTTTCTTTTCTCATTTTCATGAACTAAACCAGTAATACCACACTCACACTCTTGCCAGCAAACTGGGAATCACAACAGTTTCAGATGTCTTGAAAACCCACCAGAAAGGGAACATTTTGTATATGTATATGAACTAAATATGATTTAAATAGAAACCTAGAAATAAAATAAAGATGATGAAAAACATTTTCCTAAGCTGACACATGCTTAACCAAAGGGCCGTGCCTTTAAATCACCATTCTCATCTAACTCATCTTCTGGGGTGTGATTTGACCACACAGGATCTTTTAATTCTTGATGCAAGATAAAATAAAAAAAAAAAAAAACAATATAAAAACACTAAAAACTGCCCACAGAGATTCAATTGGAAACTTAGTATGTATATGCATTTGCATATGTGTGTGTGTGTGTGTGTGTGTGACTACTCCCACAGACTGTTAGTTCCTACTGAAAATACATGGAAGGTCAACATCTAGCCAAACAGCCAGTCTTGTACCATCCCTGTTGCACTATCCCCCTTTGTTTCAATGTGTTTAATACTCTGTAAATATACTGTATGCAGATTACATATAGAACCCATATACAAATGGTGCGTGATTGGCTTGGTAGTTAAAATCATAGAACACAGGTTTGCTGGAATAAGGCCCACATATGAGAAGCTAATGAGGTCTTACAATGATTTTCTTCTTTTCATGACTATCACCTTCAATTACACAAGTTAACAGTAATTCTCCTCAAAAACAAAGCAGGATCTAATAGTCGATAGTAAACACTTGCAAAATGTCCACGGCAAAAAATGGCCTGAGAAGGAGAGAATTTGAAAGAAGCATTTTACTTCTTTTTTTGGATGTCATCATTTTTTTCTCCTCTTCAGATGTTTTTTGTCTTGAGCAGCACAACGCTGTGAATGGGTCCAGCTGTTTATGTGCTGCCACTGACCCTGCAGGTCCCGAAACAAGAGAACTCCTATAAAAATGGATAACCGATAAGGCCACTAGTCCATTAAAACATCCTAAGATCCTTCACTATGCTCAGCCCATCTCTCTCACCACTGAGAGTTTTAATATTAATACCACAAGCACTGAGTCAAACTTTTTTTTAAAGTAAATTACTTCAAACAGTGCAAAACAAATCAAACCTGTGCAATAAGGCCTACCATTATAATATGTTGTACATATAATTTAACATAAAAACAAGACTTCAGAAGGAAACAACAATAAGAAAAACAATAAATGCTTAAAAAAATACATCAATGATGTGGTTAACACAGCATGGACATGCACAGCTTAATATAGAAGAGACATTCCCCTGTAGGACAAAAACAAAAGAATTATCAGACGGCAGTCTCAATTTTAATGCTTTTAAATGCACCCCCCAACCCCCACACACAGAGACACACTTCTCTCTGGGTTGTGTTAGGAGTGTGTTGTCTCACAAGGGCTCAAGCAGCCATCTGCCACCCCACTCTAGCTAGCCTGATCCTTATCCTCAGCCCAGCCCAGCCTGGCCCAGCAGGCCCTCTGTCTCATCCCCACAAAAAGCCTTCCTACTGGATCATGGGTGGGGGAGAGTTGGGGACACAAAGGCAGGGAGGAGCTGTGGGAGCTCCACAGTGAGGCCCTTTGACCTGGTTCCCCGGCCCGGTGGGGCAGACGGCCATGACGGACAGCACTCCCTCTGCCTCCTCCTCTTTTATCAGCCACACAGAGCCCACAGGCTGACGGAGAGGCAGAGGAGAATGAGACAGAGAGAGGGGGAGGATGGTGGATCAAACGAGCACAATGAGGAGCCTGACACAGATTACCATGACCACCTCTGTCTCCCCTTCATCCATCTTTGGGTACGAATCTCTCTGTTCCCCATAGACTGCTGCCTTCTCCTCCTCTCCCCTGCGTGACCCCCTTCTCTTGTCTGTTCCCCTCTTTATCTCTCAGCCAGGGGAGCGACCAGACCCTGTGTGGCCAAGCTCGCCCCTAGTGGCCACAGATACGCTAGTGTTTTCTCACATCTGAGTCAAATAGGCTTTTCATTGTTTGTACAATCACATGGAGTCTAGTCTGGATGGATAGGCTGCCTGTGGTGGCTAGTGTGTGGTTGGTTTGTGGCAGTGGTCACTTATCTGGGAGGAAATATTGTAACATTTTAATAACCACATAAAGCTTTATTTATTTCGGCAAGATAGGGATGTCAATATTATATTCCTGTGTTATAGTAACACTAGAAGACATTTTTCCTAATGTCTTCTCTCCTCCTGGGGGGGCTGACACTTAGGCAGTGGTGGTGAGCTTTTGGATGGTTCGGTCATAGTACTGGGTGGTAAGAGCCTCCAGGGGGCTCCAGTGGTGGGCATGCAGCTCGATGACCTCCATGAGAAGAGAGCGGGTCAGCGGAGACTCAGCTGGACAAAGCATCTTGTCCCTGACGGCTGCTAGGAGCTCTGTCATCATCTCTGGGAGCTGTTCTTCCAGGAGACGCCCAGTGCTCTGTAACTGGTGGAGGGGAAGGAAAGGGGACAGAGGTTAGAGAAAGTGTCTTTGTTAGTGTCAGACAGCAGCAGTTCACACACCACACAACTGTGTGTGTGTGTGTGTGTGTGTGTGTCTGACACGTAATCAAGACTGTAAAGGCTGAAAACTCTCTTCTTTTACCTCCTTGTACCTTAATTTGTTTATTTTACAAAGCTGTGCACTCTTATACAATGACTCAAGTAAATCTATCTGTAATTCCTTCTTAAATTAAATTATTTTATTATTTGTATCCCTTAGGAGAGTAGAATAGGGCATAGATGGTCAGACCACAAGCTGCTTTAGAATAAAAAAAAAAAAAAGGAAGCAGTCCAGAACAACTGCTTGTGTTTGGTGTACTACATTTTGTCCTGATGTTTTACTGTATTTAATTATGTTTCTTGGCTCTTGGACAATTTTTAAATCTGCCTGTAGATTGAAAGAAGTATTGTGTGTGTATTTGCATGTCTATCTTTGCGAGGACCGATTTGAGTTTCAGACCTTGGGAATGAGAGGGTGTTTGCAAAGTGAGGGCATACTGGCCTGTTCTCCCTTCAGGACGGACCTTCAAAGGGCTGTTTGAGGGTTAAGCCTTTATTTACCCTGCATGAAATGACACAAGGGGGCTGTGCCGGTCAGACTGTGAAATACAATCTGGTAAATCTGGTTGGAGGAATGGATTTGAGTTTTTAAAGCTTCATAGACACCAAACACAGCACAGAGGTGCAAAGTTATCACGGCATCTTATCTTTTGTTGTGACAATCTGTGGTAAACAGCTGGCCATGTTACAAGGTAACGCACTAGGAATGTGTGTCTGGATGTATGTGCCCCATTCAAACGAATGAGAAGGGGTGCAATTTTTTTCACAGTAAAAGACAGTTTGAACACAGCCTAAGACTTGGTTTTAAGGTGTGTGTGTGTGTATATGGTGTGTGTGCGTGTGTGTGTGCAGCTGTCTGTGTGTGTGTGCGCGTGCGTGCGTGTGTGTGCAGCTGTCTGCTAATGTGTGTGGTCCATACCTCCATGGAACAGCAGAGGACTGAGTCTTCCTTAACGTCTGTGGACTCCAACAGCTATGGAGACAAGAACAGACACTGTCGATATACTGGGTCATTACAAAACAAAATAAAAGCCCAATTCAAATGTAGTAATATCAAATCCAGCACAGTGAGTTGGCAAAACCAAGCCAGGCTCGCAGATATATAAACATAAATATATGGATACAGGCCACATGGGGAAATGAAGCAAATACAAAGTGTTTCTGGTGTCATCACTTCAAAAGAGAAAGGAAAAAAGACCTACTTCTGACTGTAAATTAACATTAAATTAACAGTTTGGAAGAGAGCAAACCAGACTTTCATCCTGGCAAGCTAGCTAACCATCACACATTAAGGCTTGCTTTAAATGCACACACATACTGTGCACACACAGTGTAGCCAAAAGCAAACATTGGAGCTGGTAAACATGTTAGCTGGCTTTTCCCCCCATGTTGGCTTCATTCACAGACAGGCATACAACTGGCCCTTTGGCAGTTTCAAACACTGCAGGGAGGGATGGCGACAAAGGGAACTAGCTAGACAGAGAATCCCATGTTGGACTGTGGGCATTTAGTATCAGATTACAGCTTTAACACTCCTCTAGCTCTGAAGTTATTTTACTTCTCACAAGTGCGTTTTCAAAGTGCTGCTTTGATTAGCCTGAAGGAGAGAAGGAAGCACTGAGGGGTCGGGGGTGGAAGTACAGACCTGCTGCACAATGAGCAAAATAAGTCATAAATGCAGGGTGCAGGCACACCGTCAGAGAAAAAATATACGAGTGCTCTCATGCTATGAATACAAAGGAAATCTGTGTTAGGAAGCTGGACCGGTGATTGCACTGTGACTTAGAATCGATATCTTTAATAATAAGAATATATCAAATGATGAAAGGGGATCACTAGTAGTGCTGAGCATACAAAGAATGATCACCTGAATCTACAGCTCCCTTCAGCTTTACTGAGCTTTCTAGTAAGATTCACCTTGTTTGGCCCACAACTTCACTGCTCTTGTCGTGTCGCATTCAGTCACAGCTGGGATCTGTTTTTAGCAATTGGTAGAGACCAAAAATAGAGCTAAAAGAGAGTGAATAATGACCTGGCATTTTCCAGGTGCTCAGAAACAATACTTTACATACATTTTCTCAGTCTCCTGTGTGCAAAGCAGTTGTGTGCTAACGTTTGTCAAGCAAACTTGAAACGTAATGTCAAAGCTGTGTGCACAACTTGTTCTTGCTGCCCTGAAAAGCCAAAACAAGCAGGTGTTGCAGGTTAAAGCAAGAGGATCAAACTGAGTAATGGCAAGTATTTTAGTTTTTCAGTTGGCAGAGTATAGAGGTGCTTTCAGTCCCCAGCCAACTGAGCCTACCTTCTGCTTGCATACAAGCCAACCATACAAGTCTGATGGGGTTTCATGTAACACATCACTCCATGCACAGACTGCAGCGTGATTAGAGATGAGCCCGATCTGATCCTATATCAGTATTGGGCCCGATATTGACACCATTCACTTGTTGGATTTTGGACGGACAAGGCCGATCCACTTACCGATCTGTATTCCAGTCTGCAGCTTGAGCTGTACCACAAACCCACTGTTACCTAACGTGAGATGCGTCACTGATCCAGATTCTCTTCCACATCTTACCATAAACCCGCGGCATCTTCAGTCGATAACTGACTGAGCAAATAACATTAGCTGTTGGTTTGACTAATTTGTTTGGACATATTTTAGTCTGAAAATGCTGAAAAGCATTTCTGTCGAATGATTGAAGTATTTGTTGTGTTGTACAATACAACCAATTTAATCAAGAATCAGGAGTTCAAGTTCCAGCCAGCAGACAAGAAGACACCACCAGGCAACAGACTCTCACTGGTACTTTCCAGAAACACATAAACATCCAGCAGACAACCCAAAGGCTAAAGGGACTACAGAGAAGTTGCTCAACATCATTATACTAGATGACCAACCATTATCTCTAATGGAAAAGGTCGTATTTCGCAGCCTGTTGGAGCACTTACAGCCCAGGTATAATCTGCCATCCAGAAAATATCCCCTCTATTCATTTTCCACTTTTCTGGACTCCTGATACAAAGACAGGTGAGACAGATTTCTTGTATTAAATAATAAATAATTTCTAGCCCAAAAGTGGAGATTTGTAAATGTGAAGTAATTTGGAGAAGTGTGTCCTTGGCCTCTGACCATCTAGTGGTTGCACTTCTCCATCATTACTTATATTTTGTTTATTGGTGTTTGCTTTATTCCAATGAAAGAGCTCTTGTATCGGCAGCTGTGTCTCGGGGTCAGATCGGAACTGAAAAAATGTGGATCGGTCCAGCACTGACTTAAATCAGTGCTCTAAGAAAAACAGTCATGGAGAAAATGTCTGTATCATCACAACAGCAAAAAAAAAAAGAAACAAATCACCACCATCTGATCCTCATTCAGTACGATCTTTCCACATTGTAATCTTAATGTTATTCCACCATTAATGGCATTCATTCAGTATGCACAGACAGGTGTGTGGCTTTTTGATGTGGGAACTCTAGTCTCATCATTGCCAGAGTACGAGAACCGTGTGACAGGCAGGTCTAGCTCATAACGAGTTCTCCAGGGAGTCGAGGGTAAAGCTTTTCCCAATGCGTTTTAAATGGCCACAACTGCTAGTCTGTATCTGTCATCAGCTCTCCCGTCCAGTGCAATAGCTTTTTTTCATCTGTTTGAGAAAAATATACATTTAAATGTTCTGCTGAGGGTTTATCTGTCTTTCAGTTTGGCTTCACTACTCAAACACATGTATGTTTGTGTGAGCTGAATGACTGCTGACAGAAAAAGGAGAGGATGTATGAGCGCTGAGAGAGAAACATGTTTGCAGAACTTCTTTTGGTTACATTACACAGCATTACTCAACTGATGTAGCATGACTGTATGTAAGCAACCACTTAAAGCCGATAGACAAAACGGCAAGTAAATATTACTCCTAGTTGTTTGCTGCTCTGAATATCAAGGTACAGATTAGTAAAGCAGACGGACATACACATGATCACTGTTTTAATAGCTATTGTCACCAGCAGACGCAGTGTATGTGCATGCTTTCTGTGGTGTGGACTTGCAAACCAGTATGCGGTTATAGCTTTAACAAAAGTTGATTTCACCTGTTAATTCAACTGCCCTCCTGCGTGCCTTCTGAATTCATTAGGGCTGTCCAGAACCAAAGAAAGATGTCTTAGTTCCTTTTATCTTTGTTAAGAAAAGGTTTTATTAAGAATCCAGTTTTTCAATCTTGCCCATGCAAAATAGCACAGGCAATGTTTTGCATATTTTTATACCACGGTCTGGGCAAAAATTCACTGATCTGATCTGCCAGAGTAGGTGTATTTAAACTGTTTAATGAACAAGCTGTTTGGATCAGTCACTGTTCTAAATTTATACACTTGCCACAAAGTTTCTTAACAACCAGTGTAACTACAGCAACGTTCGGAAGCAGTAGCCAAATAAACAAGTAAAAGAAAAGAAAACTTTGCATCACAAACTTGATATAGGGAAGCTAGAGCTGGGCGATGTGACCAAAAATAGTAATATTCAGTTTCTTCATATTGATAATTATTGATATAAATGTTTACCACTGATCTTTTTTTGCCATGCTGTGTCTGATCATACTGAGAGAAAGGCAGACAGCGGGAGCTCTGAATTCAACAAAGTTCTGCAGTAAAATCCAGTTTATTAAAACTTCCACAGTCCACTTTGTGTTAGCTTCCGTTTTACTCGTACTGTGGACGGGCTTATTTTAAATACGAGGAGGCACTGCTGCATCCAGCAACTCCAGCCGGCTACTTTCCCCCGTCTTCCAGTCTACACTTCTAGAAACCTGGTTACATATATACATGGCAGACTAAATGCTAATGTACCTTGGGAAATCAGATTTTTCTATTTCCCCAGCCCCGATTACAGACACACAGTTTCTTGTTTACATGACAGTTAGAAAATCAGCTGACCAGAGAAAGCTGTTTGTAACACAGCATTCAAAGCACACTAAATGTGTTTTGGTGAGAAACACGATGTAACTTGTTTGTTTACTCTACAGGGTACCTTTTTAATTTGACGTTACAGGGTATATACACTTTATTATTGAATCCTAAACAAATTAGAAAAAGGTCTGTAATGGTCCGCAAAGCAGACAAAGTTAGCAACTAGCTAGTGAGAGCATTATAGTGGAGCACTTTGTGGCTTAAGGTCCAGATGTTTCCCTCAGGAGTTGGCAGAGATTAAAGAAGGAGCTAAAAGAGACTGAATATTGGATTTATTGACCAGGTGGCCATAAATTTGACTCCAAATGAATGTTAACGGTGTTCTGTGCCTGCTGAAAGTGTAACAACCAGTCACCACGTGGCAGCAACAGGTCTATTTAGTAGTATAGTAGTAGTATTGGTAGCTGTCAGAGGTGGACTTACTTACAGTAAGTGCAGTAGGAAGTGGTATTTGGGAAATTTGGTTAGGTACATAGTGTTACATGGTCTGAAAGGTTTGGGAACCTCTACTTGAATGTGCAGCCTTAGTCAGTGATCATCCAATATATTGCATTTGTAAATGCATTTTTAAAGCCACTATTTTGTGTGAGACACTTCCACTTTCATAAGGTCATTAATGGATCAGATCACCACTTAATAACTTCCTCTGTCTATACATATAGTTGTCATGTAAACACACTAACACACCTCTGTTACCTAATCCAGTTCTACAGGCTCCAAAAGACACATCCTGCAAAATGCACAGCCATACACACATGCAGGTACATATGTCTGCATATGTAAACATACAGAGCAACACACACAGGCAAGCGCACATTACGGCACATAAGTTGTAGATGGAATCTGACAACAACATGTTACAACAGCAGATGGATAAAAATCAGGGACAAGGGCTCTGGGAAATCGAGACAGATGAGCCCACCAATACGCACACATTCAGTTCAACACAATAGAGATATTTTGACATCATTCACAGATGTTCTGACACTGCTGATGCTGGAATATGGAGGTGCGTTTGTACGTCTGACTGGTTTCTCCACACCCTTGGTCATATTGGCGAGCCTTTTAACACACTGAGATAATGCCCTGGGCATGCACTCAGACAGGGTGTGGATGACATTATAGTTGTGTGTGATTGCTGTTTGTTAGTGAGTTGCAGGGTGTGAGCTGAGTGTCAGACTGGCAGAGGTGTGGACGTGGGTGGGAAAACTACATGACACATGCCTCAACCCTGCCATTATTTTTTTTTTCTGTACTGCTCACACTAAAAATTTGAAATATTTTTTATTGCTAGATTGTGTCATTTCCCTTTTCTCTTCTATCTGTCATGGCAGGAGGAACTTCCTCTGCACTAACTGTCAACCTGACCACAGTCTCCCCTGCTTCCTCTCGCATCCCCCCTAACTCGTTTCCCCTTTCAGTCTCTTGTTAACCACTTCTGTATCAGTGTGTCTGCTGTGGCTGGTCTTAGTGTCTACCATGGCGACCAGCAGAGTGTGTTTAACAGCGTGACAGCTGATGAGAACTGAACCCAGGGTTTCCTGGAACTGATAGTGCCCTGACTGTGTTTGCACCACTAGCCAAACCCTGCTGTGGTGTCTTGGGTCTAGACTTGGTCTGCCCCAAAACAGGAACCTCTGGCTTAGTGCATGTATTGATCTAAACAGACGAGATACACAAATGCAGCTAAACTGTTTGTGTCTTGGGTCTAGACTTGGTCTGCCCAAAAACAGGAACCTCTGGCTTAGTGCACATATTGATCTAAACAGATGAGATACACAAATGCAGCTAAACACTTACTTTCCTAGAACACACTGATGGGGTCGATGAGCTGGCTATTGATATATTTACTTGATTTAAAAGACAGCAAAAAGGTGTAGATCTGGATACAGACCTCTTGTAGGCAGGTGTAGATGGGACACACCAGCACCCTGAACGGCTCCCCGGAGCTGCTCCTCATGGTACCAAACACCTCACACAGGAAGGTGATGAAACCCAGCCACCTCTCCACATCTGACTGCTGGAGTTCCTCACGACAAGAGAAGTCCCTCTGTGGGAAGGTGGAGATGAGGCAGAAAGAGAACGATACAAAGACAGGTGCAGATTTACTTTGGGAATGCTAGCTTTTGTAAATGTGTAATACAAGTTCTAAGTAGGAGGCAAAGTAGGTGGATATTCAAGTGTTTCAAAAATTCATCAGTAGTGGAGGTAATCATTAACATCTCTCTCTCTCTGATGGGAGATTTTGTAGGTGGCACACATATTAACCTCGCAGCTTAAAGCACTTTTAAATCCGAAAAAGCACCCATTAAACAAATTCATGAAAATCTGCCAGAAGTACAGGAGAGTATGTTAATTTGGTTTGAAAGTGAACTGTGTCAGTGCTGTAAGAGTGCTGAGGTTAATACCAGTTAATGCTTAATGTGCACTTGTAAAGATGTAACATGGCAGGTTAAACATAAACTTTATTATCAGTCAGAGCAACTCACTCTGCTTCACATATTTTTCCAGAGTGAACTGAAGTGCAGTGAAAGCGCACTTAGTAGAGCGGCTTGTATTCTCACAGCATTGTACAACTACAGTGACAGCCTGCTTGTGCACAGACACACACACAGATTATGCAGCCTTGAAAGGGCCCGACAAAAAAACTCACTCACGCTGTCAAAAACAAACATACCACACACACTCAAAAACAGAAACATGCACACACCTCTCGTACACCTCCGAGGACATCGACATGGAATTTGACACTTAAACAACAAGCCAGCAAAAGGGGGTGATGCACACGTTTAGCAATGAAGCACAAAAAGCTGACTGAAGCGTAAGAAACAGAAGAGACTTGAGTAAGAAAACATGATGAACAACAGCACTTGCAAAAACAAAAAAGTGACCACTCTTCCCAGGCATCTTAAATAAAGTCTGGCTATGTTTAACTAAAGCAACAACAAACACTATAGCCTGTCATTTAATGAGCAGTGCAGTCGGGCACTAATTGCCCCCTTACTGAGATCCAGGGGTCTGGAAGCAGCATCATTAATGACAGCCTTTTTGAGCCCGCTTATGACATTTAAAAAGTTTTAAAGCAGAAAAGGTAAAATGTCAAAGACAAGCAGGGGGTCCAATCTGGCTGAGAAGTGGGAATTAGAGAGAAATAAAAGAGAAGTGACCACACAGCTGTGATACCTGGAGGGATAAATATAGAGAGAAGAGGATGAAAGGATTAAGGCAGAATTCACTACTGCTCAACTCAACATCTAAAGAACAAGCCATTTAAATGGAAAAACAAAAAAATAGAAGAGAGGAGAAAAGAGAATGTAGCCAAAAAGAGAATCAGCAGGAGAAGGAGAGAGAGTGGGAGTGAAGGAGGGATAGGCAGCAGGTGGGTTAACATTTAGAGCTTGAATGTCATCTGAAGGCAGCGTGTGCATCTTGTTTGCCTACTTTTAGACTGTCTGCCACTCTGGCGAGGTTGTCTGGCACTCAGTATGGTGCGAGGGATGAAAGGGATGAGTGTGGAGAGAGAGAGAGAGAGATGGAAGTGTGCATGTAGAGGTAGCAAGGCACTGGCCTGTGTCATTCTGGGTGAAGGAAGGCAATATGATGGCGGAGCATAGGAACAGAGAGCTCATGAGGGACAGGGAGGGGTAGCGAGCAGGAGCGAGGTGCAGTGTGATTTATAATGGCTGAGAGGATGTTTTCATCAAGGGTGCAAGACTGGAACTGTGCAGTTAAGTGAAGAAATGGAGGGTGAAGGAGGGGACAGGCCTCTCTCCCCCTGACTGTTTAGATGAGCTACTTTGCCCACTGACATTTACAACATATCACACACTTGGCTTCCACCTAAATGTGCTTTCTTGTAAAAGTAAGGTTGAGCTGAACTGCCTTTATTTCCCCCCCCTGTCAAAACTGTTTTCTAATTAACGGACATTAATAAGATCTACTGAGACTGAAGTAGTCAAATCAGTGTTTATTATTATTATTTTTTTATTGTAGAGTAGCTGCTCTGTCAGCTCTTTATCGAGACGACCGCTCACAGCACAGTTAGTAGCCAGTCTCACACAGCAAAGCAGTGTTGGAAAAAATACTCTGGTAGTAGAAAATGGAAATACCACAATGTAAAAGTAAAACTCTCTGTTAGAAGTATCAAAGCCCTGTATTCAAAACTGTACTCTAGTAAAAGCACATATTGATTACCAGCTCAATTTCAGTAAATGTAATGTTATCGAACATTAAAAGTGGTCATTATGTACATTTTGTACTGTATGTAAAATCCTAGTAACTATGTAGACGTTTGATAAAAGTGGTGGAGTAAAAGCCAAAAGGAGCTTAAAATGGGTTATGTCAGTGGTGCGAGGGACAAAAAGGATGAGCACAAACAACCTCAAAATTGTACTTAAATAAGTAAATGTACTTACTTTCCACCCCTGCAACAATGATATTTAGTAGACCCCAGTGATACTGAATATTTAAAAACAATACTGAAACAGATCTTCCTTATTTGAATAAGAGGAAACGTAGTGATGTTTATTTTAAAAAATCAAAGTAGCACACCAGATCTATGAATTAACAAGACTGTTAAACTAAGACACAGAGGAAGATACTGAAGAAGAGATACATAGAGCTTGAAGCAGCAGGGGGTGCTCCCCATTGCTGCGCCTGGAATTAACCGATTCCCTCCCAGCACTCTCACCTGCAGCATATTGAGGAGCAGTGACCTGAACTTGGTGCCCTCCACCATGAACAGCGCCATCTTGTCACAGAGCTTGGCGGCTGTGGCAGCGAAGCTCCTGTCTGACACGGCCTTGGAGTAGACTGTGCTGACCACCTGAACCAGGGCTTCCTCAGATTGCGCCAAGCACTGTGTCTCCTCCAGGAACGAGGCCAGCTGCTGCTCCACCCCAGTGCTGTTGCTCCTCATGCTGTTGAGAAGGTCCAGTAAGCGATCCATGCTCTGCGAGCTGGAGCCTGATGATGCCTCAACACATGCCTCTTCCTGAGGCAGGAGACAAGATAGGACATTAGTTATGTGACAATATTCAGTTTCAACATAGCTTTGAATACAACTTTGGAAAAAGGCATCACATCCACCGACACCACCAGCCACTGAATGGAAGAGTGTGTCCAAACTTTAGACTGGTGGCGTATTATGACAGTTGATGAAGCAAGTGAATTAAGCCTATTACTCTAAACAATAATTTAAATGGTTTTCAAAGTCATTGAGCTGCTTTTACAGTCTTTCCAAGTACTTCCTGGCATACCAAGTCCCTGTCGTTGTGAATCACCGTATGCACCGGCATGGCAAATGACACTCATTGAGCTTTCGTGTCAATAGTATGTGACATCATCAGCATGACAAGGATCCCAATGAGTGGCTTGTTACATGGAAGCAACACAGTCAATCAAACATTTTATGATATATTTTACA